TCTGTTTTTGTTTTGTTTTGTTTTGTGTGTGTGTGTGTGTGTGTGTGTGTGTGTTTAGTTGTTTGTTTTTTCAAGTTTCCACCAGTTTCACTGGGCCATGGATGGGTGGGTGTTCATCTGTAATGCAGGATATTCTCTCTGGCCTCTTTTTGTTTGTCAATTAATTTAGAGCCAGTGGTGAAGGAGAGAGCAGCCCTGGATGACCAATCTGGTGCCAGGTTCTGCTCAGGGCAAATATTGCAAATATGTCTGTATGTAGCTCAGTAAATAGCTGAGAAAACTGGAGAACTTGCTATGATGTGAATAYAATTTGAGTGTGTCTCTGGTGCCACCCTGTTGGGGAGGCAAAGCTTCAAGTGGTACGGCCTGGTGGGAGGTGGTTGTTATTGGGGATGCTACTCTCAGGAGACATCAATGCTGGTCTGTCTCAAAGACTAAATTAGCTCTAAAGAGAGTAGGTTTTAATACAAGTTCACCTCACACATTTGGCCCCTTCTACATGTGACCATTTATTTCCCTTTCTGCTTCTCTACCACGATGGGAARCAACCAAGGAGGCCCTTACCAGCCCTTCTGGGCCACCTGATCCTGGACTTTCAGCTTCCCAACCTGTAAGCTAAAATACATCTCTTTTCTTTAAAATATGTAGCCTCAGTTATTTTGTTTTCTCAAAACAGAAAACAGACTAGGAGATGACTACATAATACATACAGAACCATYGCCAGGAGCCTAAGCACCCAACAGCCTGCGCTTTGTTATGAAAGCAGGGTTGGGGAGGTGGGGGAGCAGGTGGCCCTGCCCTCATCCAAGGCAGGATCCAGGATGGAAGCTTGTAGTGTGAGGGGTTGGGGCTGCTAGTGAGAAAGTGGTGGTGTAGGCACCTGGGTGTAGACAGGCCACGGCAGGAAGCCCTCTCCTCTGGGTTTCTTGAAGCCTTTTCCAAGAAGTAGCAGGGAGCCATGTCCCAGGGGCTCCCTGTGCAGCCCAAGTGGTGTGACCCCCGCGGCCAGCCTAAGCCCAGCAGAAAGCGGAGCAGAAGGGCCTTTTGCCTCTGTCACTTTGGATAGATGAGGATAAGAGGAAGATGACAGACAACAGGAGCTCCTCCATATCCTTCAAGGTGAAAATAAAACAGGCACATCCAAATATATTTATCAAACATTATTTTTGAATGGTGAAAATGGTGATCTGTGTTCCAGGACTGGGGGATGCTACAAAAATATATGTCAATGAGGCTACTTTTCTAGTATGTTCAGTGGTCCTTGGAAAGAATCCACTATGATGGAACTTGGAGATTCCCGAGCAGAATATTGATACAGAAGCACTGAAGTTTGCCTTTGGATCACTATGTAGGGAGGATGCCTTCAGAAAGCCCAGYTGAGTTATTCCCATTTTGGAAGCAGCTTGTATGCTGCAGTTGAATGGTTTAACACCCTTGAGGTGAGACAATGAAGGAAGCAATTAATGTGAAAATTGTGGCTATTACACATCAGCAGGGACTTATGGATAAGATTCTATAAAGAAAAAGTGCCGTGAAAAAATCTTCTAAACAATTTGGYGACTCAACAGAATGTTAAAGTTTTTGAAGAGCTGGGTATCAACATCATGAAATAGCTCATTGGTTCATCAAACTTACTTGGGATGCCAGTAGCCGTAGATGTTCATGTAGCTCTAAAATTAGCCTTCTTGGAACATATCTTTAAAACAGCTTTTGAAAGAAACAGATGTCTGGTTTTCCAGGCAGAGAAAATATTTGAAGGCACTAATTTCCTTGAATCTGAAAAAGGAAAGCCATTTGCATCAGTGTTCAGACTTCTAAGGTTACCGTGATTATCAGTGATCTGGCTTCTGCAAGGGTTATTGAATGAGATTCTCTAGAACCTTCAGAATAACCATCTTCTGTGSGTAAACATCAGTGGCTTCTGTGCTTCTGACAGAAAAGACAGTGAAGTGAGATTATGTTCGGCTTCTTTTGATAGTAGTGGGAAACTAAAATGTAGTAGAGCAACTGATTTTCAAATACTTAACACTTGAAAAGGATCCAGAGCAACTGGTAATGAACTTGGACAGCAGGCTTCTGATGCTCCCTTTATATATCTGCAGTAAGTTCTCTTATATATAGCCAGAAAAAAAGAACTGAAACTAATCATTACCCAGGAAAATTTAAATAAATAGATAGATAGATAGATAGATAGATAGATAAAAACCCCGAGGATCCTAATCAGTTAGAAACTGTGGCATTTAGAAAACTTTTTAGGTCAGATTTAACTTAATGGCCCTACTGATATTCACTCCTAAGGTGGCAATATCAAAAGCCCTATGTCTTGTACAGAAAATACAGAGTATAGTTCCTAGCCTTGTTACATTTCTGTGCATATGTGAAAAAGCATTTTAATGCCAAGAAAGTATCTGACAAACCATGGGTGTTATAAAGATATCACCTCATACTTTAATTGTTAGTAAAGAATTGCTGTGGATAAATTTCATCTCTTTTTGCTACCAAATATAGATTTAATTTTTAGCTTAAAATTTGATGCTGCCTAATATTGGTGAACTTCATTTATCCATCTGTACATTTATTTTTATTTTGCTAAAACAATCTAAAGAAATAATTTATACTTTTTGACTTTAAAGCTAATTTTTTTCACAGATTTTTTTAATTTAATTTTTTAATTTTGATTCCTCCATATAGTCTAATCTCTTTCCAATCTCTACAGGTGTTTAATTATCAAATACTATTTTTGTGTTTTGAGGAGATAAAGCTTGGAAATATTTTTTTAAAAAAATAATTATTTTCATGATTCTATTTTTAAAATATAATTTAGCTTTCCTAGAATTTTTAAYAATAACAAAAAACACTTCATACCTTCAAATGAACTCAAGCGGGGAAAATCAGTTTGAATCTGAGTATATTCTTTTGCCTTACATTATTTTGTCTTTGGCATTCTGTATACCTTCATTGTTAGGTTATGAATCATATATGTTCCAGATATTACAGTTTTAAAAGTTTTAATCATCTCTGATGTTTACAATTATYTATGTTCAAATTTTTGTTGGGAATCCTGTTTCATCCTTAAGCTCAGGACTTTAACCTCTGAATTGAATGTCTTTAAGTCATACATACCAATAGAAATTTCATAGAAAATGTAAATAAGGTTGGAGGATCTAATATAGAAGCTGATAAGAGCATTAATGTAAAAAATAGATCTTATTTTTGTCAAAAACKAGATGTACACYYGTGATTTATATAGGTTGGCTTCTTGTGTTTATTGGTGTTTTGAAAATAGCTAATGTTCATTTTCTTTCAAAAGTAAGTACTTTCGTGATTAGTGTGTATTTTAGTATGTTTTTAAACATGGGAATCATTTTTATTTATCTGTGCAAATAATAAATGCCCATTTGGTAAAAGGAAAATGATGMGTAATGGCATTCAGCACTCTAACTGTGGGTAATGGCATTTATCACTCCATGTTCAGTTTCTTGGTGATATTTGCCATAACAGATTGTTTGCTGCCTATCAGAAACTAGACCACACTTAGACTAGGCAGGTTCAGTAGACAGGTTCCCAGGATGGTAAAACTGTCTCGGGATGGGAGATCATATCAGTCATGTCCAAGAGTACTGGTCACAGAGAAGTTATTTCTACTCAAGTGTTTTTATTTGAACACTCCTTTGTTCTTGGTGGACCCCAAGAGTTACATGCAGAAAGTCAGGTCTMTATATATAAAGTGGAGTTGGTGCAATTTTTCTGGAGACTAAGCTGGCAATATCTACTAAATTAAAAAAAAAAAAAGAAAACTCCTTTTGTCTTGGCAACATCTTTATCAGGAATGTAACTCTTGACATACTTCAAGAATTCACCAATATTCATTTATAAAGGTGTTCATTGAAATATTTTGGATAATATAAAATAGGGCACAACCAAAGTGCCTATCACTGGGAGCTGGTAAGTAAAGATTTGTGTAGCTAAGTAAATAGAATTTTAAAAGAATGAATCAGGGTTCATTAAAAAAGAATAAGGTATATGTCAATATAGAATGATTTCCAATTTTTATCAGAAAAGATGTAGAACGGTGTGAGCAGTATGAWCATTTTTGTATAGTTTTTTTAAAGTATTTACATGGATGCATATGTATTGGACATTGTTTTTTTTTTTCCTTTAAGAAATGATATTTTATGACCATTTGCCTTTGGCAAGTCAATATGATGTAGGAAATAGGCTTCAGATTTTATTCTCTGTAGAGATGTTAAAATGCTATATTTCTCTTTGCAAATTACTTCTTAAAAGTGCAGCAGGGTTACCCGGATGGGGAAATGTGGAGGACTTTTTTGCTTTAGTTTGAGACAGGATCTCGCTAWGTTTCTCAGAGCCTCACTAAATTGCTGAGGCTGGCATTGATCTTTCGATCCTCCTGCCTCGGCCCCAGGATCGGCTGGGATTACAGGCCTGTGCTCCCTGGGCTACCTGTTAGGACAATAAAAGTTGACAAATAAAAGTTGTGAGATGCAGCCCCCAAACCTGGAGCCAGATGACAYGGTTGCCTTTTTCCTATCTCAGCATGGTGTTAGGAGCTCAGTTGGCACTGACTAATATTTTATCCAGAAGTCTGGCCCCAGKTGGCCATAATTCAGACCTTTCATTGTATCCTACCTCAACATTAGGGATCTGAGCACAGATATATTGGCCAGTTCTTTTTATGCCTCTGTGTTCCCCATGCAGGTCATCAGAAAACAGAGCACAGAAAGAGGGCAGAATGAAATGGAATTCAGACCATTTACAGCCTTCATCTCAGCTATAGTTCCCAGCTCTTCAATTAGCAGACATTTGCACAGACATCTGAAGGCATCACATGCTTCCCGTAGCCTGTAAGACAGCTGTGATCCTGGTGCTTAACACCGCACTACAACCCCAGACACCATCTCAACCTTGAAGCTCTTTAGCCCACCCTGACGTGTATCTTGTCCCCATACGTAGGCCCCACAGAAACCAAGAGAGATCAGTGAGTTACTCTGATGTTTATTTTAATGCTTCTTAGTCCACACAGTTGGTATAAAATCAGAAAAAGCAAAGCAAAAAAAAAAAAAATATAATAAAGGTCTGGAGTCTTAGCATCAGAAGGGCACCGTATATACATCTACAGTTGGTGGCCAATACGATTCATTGCCAGACAGTCCTTGGAGGCATAGAACACTCTAGACCCAGCCAAGCACTGGGAATTCAAAGTCCCAAAGGTCTAGACATTTGTCCTGATGCTCCGACCGTAAGAAAAAAAAATGTGGGAGTGATGAAGACTTTTCAGATTTATTAATTATAGTCATGCCAGCAACCTAGCTAGGTACAAAAGCGGTTATAAACCATTTATATTACACAGAATTTTTTCAGGTCTCCATTTCTATTTTATGTCATAAAATTGTTAATTGAATTTCCAGTGAGTCGTTTAGATGATTAGTGATCATAAGGAATGGTAAATCCATAGCACCATTTCACAGGTCTGTTGTCACTGATTTCTCATTTATGTGGGCCACCAAGGTACTCCACCAGCAAGGGCAAGTATTCTAAAGCCACAGGYCGCGTTTTGGCCGAGGGTTCCGGTCTGGGGCTTTTGGTCTGTGCATGCTTAGAGCTTCACACAGAGGTTTAGGCAGTGAACGTTTCTGTTAAATGCACTGGGACACCCACATTATAAGGGCTTGGGGGCATTTGGGGTTCAAGCCCCACCCTTTGGTTTTCCGTGAGGTGGAGTGGGAGGGAGGTATCTTCTTTCAGATGAAAGGGAAGGGGCCAGATGCGAGTTACTTGATTTCTGGGCAAAACAAAAGATTGAAAACCAACAACAAAAATACTGCGCTCGATTATACGGTTAGGGTGTAAATTTCCTTAGCTACTTTAAGGTTCAACACRAGGCTGATGGTCAACATAGAAAGCAAACAATACTATGTACATATATGTAAAAAGTGTTATAAATAGGTTTTATAAACCATAGATATTATATACATCTTTGATCAACAGCAATCCCGCCCCCCCTCAACTGTTTTCTGTTTGGTTTGGCTTGAGTTTGGGTTCTTTTGGCTAGCTTTTTATTTATTTTATTTTATTTTTCCTGTTTTCTGGTTTCCTTCCTCCCTTCCCTGTGTACGCTCAGAGCCTCAGACGGACTGTCAGGGCACATCATTCGCGTTTCCGTAAGATCACGTAGATGACTCCGCTGAGAAGAGCCAGCGGGAAGGCCACCCAGGCCAGGATGTAGGCAAAGCCGTAGGAGTAGCCAGAGTTCAGATGCCACTCGTAGTGCCTCACCGTGTAGATGGCCGCCGCACTCATCACGCACAGACCTGGGAAAGAGGGACAGGCAGGTGAAGGAGAGTTCGTGCTGGGACAACCCCTCTCCACCACCACCCCCTAACCCTGTGCAGGGAGACCATTTCTAACCCTGGAAGGAATCTGCTTCCAGGTTCAGAATCAAGAGGAGACAGCTGGACGAGATGGGAAAGAGCAAAACAGACTTATTCTCTGGTTCCAATCCAGGCTACTGAGGTCATGAAGGTCCTCTGCATATTTTCTATCCCATTTCTTTTTTTTCTTTGACAGTTGTCAACTCCCAGACCACAAGTGAACATGAGGGTTGCAAGAGAAACCTAAATGTCCCTTTCCAAGGGTGAATGGCCTGGAGGTTCCCGGAAATCTGTGAACCTCCCTACAGTGGCATGATCTAAAGCCAATGGAAGGGAAATGGCATGGTACCATTACTGGTGTCATGGCACAGCAAAGGCATTAATTTTCTTCAGACTTTTGGAGTCTACAGTCTCCTTAGCAGGGCTGCCCCATGAAAGTGAGCTGGTGATGGCTATGGGCACTGCTAAGCATAGGAGAAGAAGAAAAGGAGGTGAGGAGGAAATGAGGAAGGAGAAGACAATACAGGTGGGATGCAATGTTACAAAGGGAGAAGATTATCAAGGACCAGCTCCATTTCATTTGGTGGCCCCAAGATTGGGCCTGTAGCCCAAACACAGATAAAAGGGCCAGTCAGGCTCTTTTTAAAAGGTAGCTCAGGCCAGCCCTCCTTGGCCTGCCAATGCAGTTCTTTGATATGGGAAGAAAGCCTCCACCTCTGGTCCTGGGCAGCAATCAGGATCAAACCCAGTGGTCCATGCCCACATGACAGGCAGCATCCCTCTGCAGGGAGGGGGTCTGGTGACATCAACGCCCCAGCCTGGAGCTGCACAAAGGCTCAACTGTTTCCTCCTGAAAACAGGGTCTTTGAGAAGCTCTGAGTGACTCTATTATAAATCCAGTATTCGTGTGGAATTCATGTGGTTCCAAAGCTCCCAAGGCCCCAGACCACCTACATCTAACCTCACTGCTATTTGGGCTACCATCTTACTGGACACTGCAACTTTGTTTAAACAAAGTGCAGTAGTGGGACTGTGTCACATTAACCATCCTGATAAGATTGCTGTTCTGCAGTTCAGAGGGGGGAAAAAACGCCCACACAAATTGACCCCCAGAAGGAAAGCCACACAATAGTCTTAAAAACTATCGTGGGATTGGGTCCAGGGCTGCCTGCAATGTACAGAAAGTTCAGGAAATTGCAAAGATGTATGTCAGATGGGAACTATAGCTGGTGGATTGCTAGTCAAGGAAAAGAGCAGTTTTGATTTGTGTTAAGGTCCAAGATCCTCAATTGTTTTGCTCTAATGCTCCCTGGCCCACCTCTACAAAGTGTTCATCCTTGTGTTCAAGAAATGATGAGGGCTGGGGAGGTAGCTCAGTAGTAGAACACTTGCCTCGTATGCACAAGGCCCTGGGTTTGATCCCCAGCACCAGGGGAAAAAAGAAAACATGGAAGTATTGTCTTGAGTTATATGTGACTTACCTAACAAAAGCAGTTCTATAAGGAGGAAGGTATTAACAGAGAGCAAAAGGGCAAGAAAATTGCTTATCTTGTGAGCAGGGCTTCCGCACGGGGAGTTTCACCAGCCACTGGCATGAAAAAGTGCCTTGGTAGCCACATGGATTAGCTATGGACCGAAATCACTGGCAGAGAAAAATATCAGGTTCTGTCCTTGAACAAGAGGGACAGAGAGAGGCAGGATGCCCAAGTGTAGCAACTAACTAGATGATGCAGTTTTTACCCTTCACCCTAATAGGAAGGAGTGAATCTAAGCTCAATTTCAATAAGCAATAAGCTTAGACACTTTCAAAGCCAAAATGAAAATACACAATTAGCACTGTTAGGAGGAGATTGATGTTTTAGAGGATATATTACTATTTCAAGGCTCCCTGCCCATTAAGCAATAGATGAGTGTTCTGAAACAAAAACGGAATAAAACATGGACTCTGGCTGGGTACCCTCTGTCTGCAACCCTGGGTAATTAATGTTAGACAGTAGTCATCCCCTGAGCCAAACATTCCTCCTGATAAGTGATGTGACTCCCTGCTTTTCCAGCAACCAGTAGGTGGAGATGTGTCATCAAGGTCCCCAGGGACAAAAGAGGTGTCACAGATGAGCCACCTATGCTTTGGCAGTGACTGGGACTCCTTAGGAGGGTCCCCAAGTCTGGGGACACAGGGCAGCTTTATGTGGCAGGACAAAGATCCTATTCAAATAGCATAAAAGTACTGGGCATTCAGCTCACAAGAGTCTCTACCTGTTTATGGCTGGCTGGCTCTGCAACAGCCACTTGAACATTCTCTATTAAGTCCTTTGGAAGAGAAGGAAGGTCTCAAGTCCCTTCAGAGCCCAGAGCCTTTGGAAAGAAGCCACCATGGAGATGGATATGGAGAAAACAACTAAGATAATTCTCCATACTTCCTTAGCATTTCCATTCCCCTGTGTCCAGTAAATGTGTAACGAGTGCCTCCTGTATGCAGGCACTGTCCTAGATGCTGAGAACATCAAGATAAATGAGGCAAGGCCCTCGCATTTAGGGGTGTCTGTTCAGAAAACAGATATATCCATACATACTTTTTATATAGTTTTAGAAGGAGAGAAATGTGCCAGATGCCCTGAGAGTACAGATGGGCATGGAGTCCCCATGGGGCACTGGAGGAGCCTCAGGAGGAGATGGTAATTGAGTTGGCCCTAAAGGATGTATAAGAGGTGGCCAGGTGAAGAGAGGTGGGAAGGGAATTCTAGGCAGAATTCCACTCTTTAGCAAGAGTGAGGCTGAGAAGACAGAAACTATCAGCAGATGAGGATAACAGTATCCCACGTGAGGGAGGCTGGAGAGCTCACTGAGGGCCTCAGTGGCATGTTCAGGGAAACCCTGGAGGAACACTCAGCACAGGAGAAATATGATCAGATGCATGTTTTAGAAAGATGACTCCAGCAGCAATGCAAAAATGGGTGTGGGGCAGGGACAAGGCAGATGGCCCGAAGGTACATTGAGGAAGCTTTTGCATATTTGCCATGCTGTTCATGAGTAAAGAGCAAAGTACCTAGAGGGGTGCAGTACCTATGGGGGATGATGCAATGGCTTCACTCAGGAGTGGCCTGAATCTGGGTTGAGGGAGAGATAAAAGTTGAGCAGGACCACCCAGTGCATGAGCAAAGGCAGGTGGGAACAAAGGAAAGTTTTGGAAGCCCAAGGAATACAATTTCAAGGAGGGAATATTCGATATGGAATGTAATGGAGTGACCCTACATTAAAGATTTTACAGTATACATTAATACTTTACAGTATTCAATTAAAGACTTTACAGTATATTTTGATGACCCCTGCAGAGGCAGCTACAGAAAGTAAAGTGAAGTTGGCTAAGAAAGAGAGGGTCTGGTAAGACCACCTGGTATTGGTGTGATGATGCTCTATCAGTGAGCCACATCCCAGTCCAAATGCTCAATGTTCTATCAATCTGTCTACAACAAAAGAAACAGAATAGATGGAAAAGGTGAGACTCGCTCCAGAGTCGAGTTCTGCCATCTTCTTCGTTTTTCTTAATCATAGTGATTACACATTTAATCTGAGTCAGATTCTGCCACAGGAACACAGTTATCCAATCACCAAACAAATTGTTACTCAGGGGCTTCTATGTGCCCTGCGTGGTGTGCTAGTTTGTGGATCTAAAGTAGTCAAATGACTCAAAACACGCAGATTTTTTTCTCTCTAGGTCCTGTATCTTATATGAATTTCTTGATTTTTTTTTCACCATCTCATGTAATCCAACCCAACAGAGCAAAGGCAAGGATAATTACTATCTAGGAATAGGTGACTACAGGTTCTGAAAAGAAGAAAAACTACAAAATCCACATATAGGATCAGGATACTCCTTCTCTATAAAAAGGGATTTAGAAGAATCTATAGCTTATGAATGGGATTAACTGTCTGTGCAAAGATGTCCTAGAGGACCACATGCTATACCAATAGTTCTCAAACCTGGGGGCACAGCTGAGTCACTCAGGGAATGGCCACACCCCAGAGCTATTGAATGAAAGTCTCCAAGGATGTGCATTGGTATTGTTGGTTTGTTTCTTTGTCTTTTTTTTTTTAAAGTACCCCCAGCTGATTCCAATGTGCAGCTCTGATTGAAAAGCACTGAATCGGAAGGAGCTGCCTTTTGGTGTGCCTTCAGAAAGCAGTCACCTAAGAAATATGGAATCCAGGAAGACAGGTCTTAACTGTGAGGCTTGTGGCTCAGTGCGAACTAGAGAGGTGATGATGTGGAAGACCAGGGAGACYGCTAACCCCTCAAGAGCTGTCATCTAGAAGAGGGCAGAGAGGACTCCTAAACAGAAACCAGCCCCAGAAGCCCACCCACCTGCCACCTGCCTCTCCTGCAAGAGCGAGTGTAGAATCCATAAAGATCACAGTGGGCCCTTCAAAGGGAAGCTATGCACATAAACCAGTCTCTTGGGAAACTCAGCTGAGAGCCTGGGAGTTTCCACTTAAAATGCCTCAGTGCTCTGAGGAGTCCTCTGCCCTGCATGGAATCTGCAGATTGTGGTAGGCGTGCTCTTAGATTTTGTCTCCCATGATCATAGAACTACTTTCTTCTTTCCTCCCTCCCTCCCTCATTCCTTTTGTTCTCTTTCTCTCTCCTTCTCCTTCTTCTCTTCCCTCCCTCCTGATTATTTTAGCTTTTCTGACTTCTTCCTTGATTTCAAGCCATCATTCTCCAAGTGTGCACTAGTTCTTAACTCCAGCTATCCTACCCCTAATTTTCTCTCCTGTTACTATTTTCTTTTTTTCCTTCCAGTACTGGGGATTGGACTAAGGGGTCTGCCACTGAGCAACATCCCCAGCCTTTTTTTTTTTTTTAAATTTTGAGACACAGTCTAGCTAAGTTGACCTTATGATCCCTCCTGCTTCACCCTCCCCCTACTGTATCTGGCTCCAAATACTAACTTCTTAATAGGCCACGAGTTGGGGAACAACCTGACAAGCATGACTTAGAATTGTCACAGCCTCAAGGAGTCAGGAAGTTTGTAAGTAGATTCCCTAATTCTTAGTTCTCAGCCTTGGTGGGAAGACCCTAGAGCCATTTCAAATGCACATTATAAGCATCCTTGGTTCCTAGGAGGCCAATCTTCAGGTCATTTTGACTGGAGTTGACAAGCAGGCACAGAACCTTCTTCAGATTTCAAAATTATAACTGCTATTTTAGTTTGACATTGCTTGCTTCAGATAACTTCCCACTTAAATGTGGACCACTCAACCGACAAACATAACTGAAAATTAGGTCTTGTGAGAGATAAGCAGCTAGATTGGAAGGGGATAAAGAAGAGACAAATCATGTGCTTTTAAATTCAGAGATATTTATGGCAGAGTTCTGAAATGCTTGCACTGAGTTCAGAGGGGGGAAGCAAAGCCGTGAAGCAAGGGTGGATTAGTAAAGTACTTTGGAAGACTGTAAAATCTCCAGACCTCAGAGTTGTTCAGCTGAACAGAAATACTTTAGCCCACAGCGCAGTGACATGTGAAGGGTTCTTATCTCTGGACTTTTTGTTCTGGCCTAGCATGATGTTGCTAAAAAGACATTGTTAGAGGGTTTAAAGTGGAAATATCTCAGTGCAAAGAATAAAGGTGGAAGTTCTGCCTATTCTGAGAAGCAGTTCCACAGTAACTTAGTCCTCAGTTCAGTATTTTTTATTTGAAGACTTCTGCTGGTGCCAGCTCTTATTCATCATAGATGCTTAGAAAGTTTGGAATAATAAATGGGACAGATGAATTGACTTTGCACCAGAATTCAGTTTTAATAAAAGATAATAAAAAGGCAGYGATTAGGCCTTTGATTTTACGTTCCTGATAATTTGGGGCGGGAGAGGTACCTAACTGGAGGGGTATGGGAGGGGTTGTAACACTCGGCAGTCCCTGCAATGAGTGGGGTGACCTTCATGTACCCTGTCTTAGRTTCAGCTTATTCATCAGCAAAACAATAAGCTTCCATAAATTAAATTAAAAATAATAAAATGAAACTTCTGGTTCCTAAGTGTATTTTAATTGATAATGAGCTACAGATGCAATGGGTATGATCATTTCATTTGATATCCAGCTATGTCATCAGTGAGCAAAAAAAAAAAAAGAAACCCTAGAAGRTATTAAACAGTCTTCTATATTATGTCTGGAAACAGACTCTTTGCTTTACATATACCTAGAAATGATGTCACATTGCATAATTAGCCATTTCACAAAGCTGGTGACACTCGAGGAGTTGGCTTGGTACAATAAAACCAGGGCCAACAACAAAACAGTGTTTGGCTTTAAAATCCTGAGATCCTGAGTATTGAAATGTATTGAAGTGTTTGGTGAAAGGGTGGGGGCTCTTTCTTGGGAACTCTCTGGCTTCTAGAAAAGGTCATCGCATTCAACCTCAGGCAGTCTTTCTGTACAACCCTTTATGAGGCCTCACGTCTGCTGGTTAAACCACCAAGCCCATGTGCGCAGTTTCCAACCCTCCAGTCACTACTGAGCACAGGGTGAGGAGAGAGYACCACGGGCTTTCTGAACATCAATAAAAACATGAGATGATTCGTCCTTTGCCTACGTAGAAAGTCATAAGTGAGAACATCTCACAGCACCCAGACCTACTCTGGTAAATATGGAAGGTCATGATTTATGAACTGGGACTATAGAATCTACCATGATATCGGCCTCTTTTATTTCTCTCCAATGCCCTGCAGACTCACTCCACTGGCAGTCAGCAGACGGAAAAATAAGTCAATTGGAAGCGAGACGCTGGCCAGAATCTAGAGAAAATGTTGGAAGATGCCTCCATCTACAACAGAAGCATCTGTATACTTGTGCCTGTGAATAACCTATTGACGACCATATAGGGAGGAGAAGAAGGGGCGACTGCTATTTGTAGGTCCCATATTTGAACGATGGCATATTACATAAGGTTGCCCAAATGAAGACATGATAAGATGAMAAGAAAAAAAAATCAAAGTCTAGTGAAATCTAAGAACTGGAGAATAGAGGGTCAAAATGTGTCTGCATAATTTCATCCCTACTTACAGGTAGAAGACACGTACCTGAGAGCTACCTTGCCAGTGCTCAGCACATCAGGGCCATTTTCTGTACTGATGCAGAGATGATTTCTTAGAGTCTGATATCATCTACAGAAAGCAGCCCTCAAGACTGGGCTTGGCTCTACTATTACCCTCCGTATTGACCTTGGATGATGTGTCCAGATTATAGCTTTTGGCTTGGTTGGGGAACTTCCTTCCAGAGTCACTGAGTCCTTTCAGGAGCACCTCCATCCATAGAGAAATGGGGGGTTCCCAAGTTCAAGGATACATACACACACACACACACACACACACACACACACTGAACTTTATGATAATGCATTCAATGTTCAGACTCATGAATATCCATCATTCCAGGGCTACATCCTTGGACAGGCCCCGCTTCTACATGGACTTTACAACTTACCAGCAAGAATTTGGAAGACTCCAGTGATGTAAAACCGGCCTCCCTTGGTGAGGGTGAAGAGCTGGCAGAAGAACAGGAACAAGGACAGAACGCTGAAGATGACGGACAGGATCATGGTGGCCTGGACGGATTGTAGCCATTCTGGGGGAAGAAATACTTGGTTAGAAAAGGTGGACATGGCCATGAGGTATGTGACCCTGACTGCTCTTAGCAGAACTCAGACAATTTACTTTTGCACTTTAATTTTCTTTGGGAGAAAAAAAAAAATATATATATATGCACTATATATATATATATATATATATATTTTTTTTTTTTTCTCCTTGTTTAACTTTGGACATTGTAGGGAAGGGCCATAAGAAAACTACAGTCTTGTTACTCGGAGTTAAAATCAATTTAAAACATACTGAATTTCCTTCCAGTGTTTCTGCCAAGTGTGTTACTGAGATATACAGATTATCACTGACTTATAACGGCTCACCTTGTACTTTTTTGACATTATAATAGTGCAAAATTTATACACATTCAGTAAAACCCATACTTCTGATTTTGAATTTGGATCTTTTTCTTGGACTGGCAGTACACAGTATGGTCCCTCCTTCACAATGCTGACAGGGGCCGCGAGCCACAGCTCCCAGTCTGCCATCCAATCGTGAGCAGAAACAACCAACCCGTCTACAGTATTGCTAAACTGTGATGTTCTGAAGGTTAGGTATATTAAAAGCATTTTTGATGTATAATATTTTCAGCTCATGATGGGCTTATTGGGGCATAACCTCATYATAAGTCAAGAAATATCTGCATGTACATGTGTTAGAGGGCCTGAGACCTACCCAATTTTGGAATTCTTGCTTTCAGGGATCTTAAAGGGCTTATAGGAACCCCTAAAATGTTTCCCCAAAAGATGAGTTTAAACCACTGTTCACAATATCAGCATCTCCCAAAGAGGTCCTGGGGATGGTTGTTAGAGCCCAAACTAATTTTGTAGAAAGTTGAAAAAAATAATGCTGAAGATGACGGCTAGACTTTATATAGGGACAGAAACCTACTTGCTCGGCAGAGCTGCATCTTTTTCTTGGGCAATGTTGATCATGGTTTTTAGCCTCAGCCCAGAGCAGTTTGTGCCCAGTCAGATCACCAGAGAGGTTCATGGGTTACATATCCTCATCTTTGTTGAACCCCCAACCTTTAATCAAACCTCTAAGCTTCCAGCTAAAATTCAAACAAGAAAACAGGTCCCCCTCTGTGGTCTCTCCATTTCACAGTTTGCTGCAAATTAATGTCATTTCAGGAGGGAAGGGAGACAAGGAAATAACCTTAGTTCACAATAGGGGGCAGCTCATGGTATCCACCTAGATGGGCTGCATTAGGTCTTGCCCACCCTGGGTGGGAACTGGGTCAGGCCTTGCTCCCAATGGAAAAGATGATCTGAAGGAGGCAGGGTTTTATCTTCCCAGCTAATTGCAATGGTTTAAAAATGCATCCAGAAATGCTTAAAACAATATTCAAAGCTAAGTAATCTAGATGGTTTATACAGGTTGTGCATCCCTGACCCCAAAATCCAAAATGCAAAAATGCTCTAAAGCACAAGACTCTTTGAGCCAACATGATACCACAAGAAGAAAATTCTACACCGTGAAACTTTGTTTCCTTCACAAAATTATTTGTTTCATGCACAAACTTATTAAAGATATTATATAAAAATTACCTCAGACTATGTGTATAAGATATATAATGAAATACATGAATTTGGTGTTTAGACTAGGGTTCCATTCACTAGATATCTCATTGTATATATGCAAGTACTCCAAAAATCTTAAAAAAAATCCTATCTGAAATAGTTTTGGTCCCATGTACTTCAGATAAGGGATACTAAACCTGTAATTATAATTAAATACAATTAAACCTGTTTTGACCTCCAGTAGAATTTTAAAGAATTTTTAAAGATGCTGATTAGGCTTCACATAAGATTTTTTTTTTTCCCCCAGACTCAGACTAGAAGCATTTTAGAGTTAGAAGAAACCTGAGATCAACTAATCCAGCTCCTTTGCACTGAGAGAAATTTCCGGAGATGTTTTTGATGAGCCTAATCTGGGAGGCCCTTGGTTCCAATCTAGTACTCTCTCCCTCCAGTGTAACAAACATATGCGTGCTCTCTCTCTCTCTTTCTCTCTCTCTCTCTCTCTCTCTCTCTCTCTCTCTCTCTCTCTCTTTTCTCTCCCTCTCTCTCTTCCCTTCTCTCCCTCTCTCTCTTTAGGTCAATTAAGACAAGAAGATGATGTCTAATGGGTTGTGAGCCATCCTGATTTCATTTTAATGTAGCCTTAATTAAATGTTTATCTTTATCTAGCATCATGGTTCTTCTGGATGAGCACTATGCAGGAAAACTAATGTTGCCATAATATCATTTAAAAAATGTTATCTAGCACTCTGTTAGAAGCAGCTAAAAGCACAAAGTAATCTGAAACMCAAATCTGAAACGAAAACAGGGTGATTCACTCTGGCTGGGAAATGTCATGAGGGGCAAGCCTGGTGGAGAGGACAGTCTGGATCTCAGGATTTTTATTTTCCCTTCCCTTTCATCATCAGCGTAAGCTATTACTGGGTCTCACAGAGAAAGAAAACTTAAAATATTTATATGTTAAATGTACACTAATAAGAAAAGTACCATAGATTTAATAATGTACCTAAGTCCTTGTTGAAACCTCTTTTGCCAATGCTTTGAACTCTAGCCTTCACCCAATTACAAACAAGTGATCTTTCCCTAAGCTGTTGCCCAGATAAGAGTGGAATTAAGGAACCAAGGATGTTTTTATTCAATGAGCTTTTGTTGAATGTCTACTGTCTTGGGCCAGTCCGCTGGTTGGCTCTCGGGGTACAAAGACAAAGAAGGCAGTTTTCAACCATAAGCACAATAACTAAACATATAAATTAAGATAGTAACTCCAACTATATCATCAGTTATAATATATGTGAAATAGATTCAACTTACTCATAAGACAAGCAATATCACTTTGGATTTAAATCATTCTAGTCATTTTCTGGTCTGAGAGATACACCTAAACAAATGGTAGTTGGCAACAAAACTATTTTAAAAAGAATCCCAGGCAAATGTTAACAAAAAGAAAGCAGATTAAAGTAAAGATAACATCTGGAAAAAAGCAGAATTTAAGTTGAAAAAAATAACCAGAGAAATGTTTCACAGATTTAGTTTACTTGATCTAAGATTGAAGAAATAATAACATATACATACACATATAACAACCAGGCCTAGAAAAAAATAGAAACCAAAAAATTAAATATGAGAAGACATTGAGAAAACTGCAGAGAGGAAGATTTTAGCTCCTCCTTCAGGAAATAAATCAGAAGAATGAAAATAAGGAAGCTTCAGGATTATTCGTATAATAAAATCAGCAATTTCAATCCAATAGATACACAGAAAATTTGTGTCCAAATGACAAAGACTATAAATTTTTGAAACACATATGAGACAATCTTACAAACTGACTATGTATTAGGCAACAAAAAAAGTTCTCCAATCTCAAAAAAAAGCATAAATGATATAGACACAATATATAACTAAAGGAATTTAGAAAATAAAAACACTCAAACTTGTAAAGATACCAATTTTATCCAATCTAGATGCCATTCTAATCAATATCCCAACTGGAATTTGATGAAGTGATTCAAAACTTCATCTAAAAGTCAATGAGCAATAAGAACCAAGAAAATTTCTGAACCAAGTACAAAAATAACAACTAAAACACAAACAACAACAACAACAAATGAAAAAAATCACAAAGACATACCCAAGGAGATAGCATGTGACCTACCAGATATCAGACATATATCTATGTCGTGTCTATTATTTTGTATGGTATATATTGAATATATAAAAAATTAACAAAATTATATCTTCATTATGAGTAATTATTAAATTAATTCATATATTTTTATTTGTATTATCTGATCAAGTCCTAGCAATTCAAACAATGTAGTATTAGTAGTGAAAGAAAACAGAATGGGACAGAATGACGATTTGGGAAGTATACATATAAATTTATTATGCAACAAACACAGCCTACAAATCATTAAGGAAAAAATACTACAGACTGTAAGTGATATTGGTTAAGCATTTGTGAAAATAAAATTGSATCTCTGCCTTATATTTAGAAAGTAAAGTTTTTAATGAAAAATTAAAAAGCCATAAGATGTGCGATTGGCAAAGGGAAAATATGAATAGACAGGAAACATTAAAAGGTGCTCAACCTCACCAGGAACCAAAAGCAAACAAAAAAACAAACAAACAAAACAAAAAACAAATGAAATCTATGAAGAATGTGATACCAATTTTTTATTCATCGGATTGTCAAAATTAAAAAAAAATTGATTATATCAACAGAGTAAATGTGCTATTAAGTACCTGTATAGGGATAATAATAACATAATAATCCTTTTGTAATTAGAAATTTGGCAGGATATATATAAAATTCCCAATGCTTATAACATAATGAGTCAACAACTTAATCACTACATTAAATACTTGAATCAGAAATGTTCGAATAAGTACATTCATGGTAGTATATCATTCTTATCAGGGAAAATATATTACAGTATATCTCCATGATATGGAATATTTTGCCACACTTAAAAATAAATCATGGTCTGGAAAATGAAGAGCCTTTGAAAAAGGGCCTCGCACATGCTAGGCAAGTGCTCTACTGCTGAGCTACAACCCCAGCCCTGGTTTTAACTTTTCAAATACTACCCATAGTTGTTTTTGTTCTCGAATTCTTCCATATCAAAAGCCTCAGATGCTCAAGCCTCTTATATAAAACAAGGTAGTATTTGCAAATAACCTACGTACATCCTCCTGTGTACTTTAAATAATCATTAGATTGTTTATAATACCTAACATAAATACTATTAAGTAGTTCTTACACTCCATTGTTTAGGGAGTAATGGCAAATGGATGTCTACGTTCAGTATAAACACAATTTTGTTTTCAAATATTTTCAATCTGCATTTTTTTTGTTGTTGCTAATTGCCCATTTAATTTTTATAAAGATAAGCAATAACATTGAATGATAGGGAATATACAATGTTACTAATACAATCAAAACTTCATTGCCATAGTCTGA